TTCTCCAGCAGAAGTTGCTGTCCTTGGCCAGGGTCACTCTCTCCTCAACTTAAGGAAGTTTTTTCATGCTCAGAACAGAAAGCCACAAATCATTTGCTTGATCAAATTAATTTTAATACAATTGGGACTTTGTCTGTGCAAAGGTCAAGTATAAACTTTTCAAATCCAAACGGTTTGGCCAGTTTGAGATTTATCTAGGCAGAGCCTCAGAGAGGCTATAGCAATAACTCAATATACCAGAGATATGCTGATTTAAATACCTATCTCTGGTGGTTTTCCTTGTGAAATGAAGATTTGAAGGTGTGCAAATTCCCAGTCACGAGGACTTTAATCCCATGCCTGGTGTCACAGACCATCCTGATTCAAATTGTGTTTTAACTGAATTCTGCCAGCTGCATTTTAACTGAATTCTGCCACGTGTTTCTCTACAGTTTAAAGAAAGCATTTATGCATTACTAGCATGATAAAGGAATGTGTTGAGAAAACAAACAAATATCAAATTGACTGCACTGTTAATATCACCTGCACTGCTGCTCCCTTGTCCTGGTGCTCAGAGCTGTGACTGTGGAGGACACTCTCTGCCTTCCCTGGATGGCCAAACAAGGGATGGAGTGACCCACGGGACAGGTTTTATTTATCACCAAACAGAAAAGGAATTATCAGTAGGTGCACTGTTGTAAAAGTGTGTCCTTACCTTGGTTTGTTTAACCCAAGCTGAAAAAACAGGTCTAATTTGGATTTGAAGTGGACGTGACATCCAACACTATGGCCATTTCCCCACACTTTTCCCCCTGAGAGCCCTTTCTTTTGTGCCACGGATAGAAATTTTTCCAGATTATGTTTCTCCGTAATGTTCAATAATTCTTTCTTTCTCTGTCCTCCATGCATCCATCTCCTTCCTGACACCCATCTTTTTCTCCATAGTGATTTCAAGATTCTCCTTCTTTCATTTCCCCTTCTCCCCTTCTCCTCAGTAACCCCATGTCACAGAGCTCTGCAGAGAGCAGACTCTGCCCTGGGCAGTGCCAGGAGTGAGGTGTGAAACCCTCTGCAGTGACAGAGAAACCATCCCTCGGTGGTCACACAGATCTCACTGCCTCCTTGACGCTGCCAACCAATGGGAGCACCAGGATTTGTATCCTGCCCTGAGAAAAAGCAGGGCACGTATTAGGCAAACTAATCACGCTGCAGGGATTTGTGTAATGAAAAGCACCTTTGCTCAGGGCTCAGAAATGGTGTGAATCAACCACACACCGTTGCCAGGAGCAAGTTCACCTGCTATCTCCTTGTTTTCTTCTGTCATATTCATTGTTGCAGCATCTCAGCCTCTAGGAGCAGATAGCAGAGCCTGGCCACCCCGTGATTAAGGCGCTCAGTCTGTCTCAGGGCAATCGGAAGTGATTTACAGAGGGCTGGCTTCCCCCTGTGCCTGCAGCCCTGTCTGTTCCCTAATGCAAACAAAGTAATGCAGACTCAATGATTGCTGTCATTTCCATGTGCCTACTGCTGATCTCTTAATGAAATATTCCACTTAAATTGCAGCGGCACAAGCACAGTTCCCTGCTGGCAGGAGCTGCAAAACCGGAGTACCCAGTGAAAAGGTTCTGCAGTACAAAGGAAAGCTGGTAGTGAAACACTGCCTGACTGTTTTTGTGCCTGCTCCTGCAATAAACACAACACCTGCCAGGCTTTCTGAAGGGTAAGAAGAGAACAGAGGATGGAAATTGCCTTTATCTCAGGTTGGGACATGGGAAAACCAGCTGAAATGAGGATGACAGTCTGTGGTGATATGGATTTGGCATTTGTGGATGGGTGAGTGGTGTCTGCTCAGTGCTGCTGTAACAGCCTTGCTCCCTCCTGTCAAATCCTGCTGGGAGCACTGCTGCAGAAGAGAAACACTGGGAACATGCAGCACCACACAGACTCTTTGTTTACCTATTGTCACAAGCAGTAAACCAAATATTGGTGGGGGGAAAGCTAAAAATCTGTTCAATGACCAAATGTGTGTTGCAGGAAATAGGAGGAGTAAAATTACTGAAAGCAGTGGGGTTTTTAAAAGTTGACTATATTGTACACTCAGTCTGAAATAAAGACAAATAGATACCAAACATGTTCTTCACTGTTCCAGGATGAACAAGAGCATCCAGCTCACCTTTCTTTAGGCCATCAGCTCTTGCAGAATTGCGTGGCATAAGTGGAGGTCTCTAAATTTTGCCTCTGCTCTGGCCTTGCACACCTCACCCCTTGCCCAGCCTCCTCCCAGCACTGATCACAAGCAAGCAGTCGCTGGCTACAGGCACTGCAGGGTCCCAGGAGCTGATGTAGGACTAGAGAGCACCATCTGAAATCAGGGAATTCACACAGTCTGCCTGGGTCACAGCACTCGCTGCATCCTACCTGGGGTGAGGAAATGCTGAAGGTGATGATGAGTTTGTGGTTGACTGATAGAAATACTTTTCCCCTAAATAAAAGCCTATTTTAAGAGCAAATTTTTCAAAGCTAACTAGGTGGAAAGTAATGGAACAGGAGCTGTGATTTAGTCCAGCTACTCTACCAAACCCTCCTATAATTTCCTGGATGATTCGGAGTCCTGTCCTACAGTTTTTCATGGTAGCTAACACTAAAAACTGCTTCAGCAGGCAAGAAATCAGCCCTCTTCAGTGCTGACCCACTAGTAATGGTTGAGAGGGGCATTATCTTCCCTGTTCCATCAGTACAAGGCAAATGAGGGAGGCAGTTTCCTTCAGGGAACCAGGGCTGTGTTAGAGACACAGGAAGAAGGGAACAATGCCCAAGATTTGCATTTGCTGAAGGGCTCAGCACATTGCTCCCTTGTGAGCCGGCCAAGACCGACAGCACATGAATCCTTGTGATTCATCCTTCCCCCTGGTCTACCTCTCTGTATCCAGCACGGCACAGAGAACTCTGTGTGTTTATTTATACACAAAAAGGTCTTTACTTGGTACTGTAGTATTTGGGTGCTTGGCTCAGGCTCCTAAGATGGAGCAGGGGTACAGACTGATGTGTTGAACCAGTATTTTCCACTTTTCTGCCAGACTGCTGGGTGACCTTGGGCAGTTTACAGCAACTTCACCTCTCACCACCTCAGTTTCTGTAAAATTATCCTGCTTAACTTTGAATGGAGTGTAGCTGTCAACTGATGCAAGGGCAGGGTATGTTGTTTATATGTGACTCAAATAAAACCAGTGCCTAAAACCTGAAAGCAGCAAGATAGAAAAATTGAGAAAGAACAGAGCAGAAATGTGAAATTGTTCCTCTGCCTCAGCTTTTCTCTGCATGCTGCCCTTCCTAAACACAGGCAATTACAGTCCAGCCCCACCATCCAATTTACTCCCTGTCAGCCACACTGAGAAGTTCAGGCTACCCCCCAAGGCATCATAAATGACAGGTAAATAAGCCCACACATGTTAGGAAGAGTCTCTTTAAAGGTTACAGTTCTGCTGTGCTGAAGAACGCACGTTTCAGGGCAGATATTTCCCTTTGGAAGGCTCTGGGTATGGAAACCTGGCACGAAGGGCAGGTGTTCAGGAAGGACACATTCCAGGCACTGATGCCGTGTCAGCTGTGCCTGCCCAGACTGTCGTTAGTGGTTTAAGGGGAAGCATAACCCAAGAATGCAGGAGTGCATAACCCGGAGATGCAGGAGTGCATAACCCAGGGATGCAGGAATGCATAACCCAGAGATGCAGGAGTGCATAACCCGGAGATGCAAGGGGCATAACCCAGGAAAGCAGGGATGAACAACCCAGGGATGCAGGAGGGCACAACCCAGGGATGCAGGACTGCATAACCCAGGGATGCACAACACGGTGAGGCTGCTGGTCATGGACGTGTCAGGCAGATGGACTCTAAGCTGTTGAAAAGGCTCATGAGTTTCTGCTGCTCGTGAACATCATATACAGAAACTACAAATAACTTCTCCTGGAGTTTGCAGGAAGCCCTGTCTAAGGGTTCTGACTGTCTCGGGGTTGAGCTGTGGAGCAGCTGAGAAGCAGACACCAGCTGCCCGTTGGGGCAGGAGGCAGACACGGAGCAGAGCACGGCCTCTGCAGGACCTGCTGCTCCCGCAGGGGCTGACCCTGCATGTGAAGTGTCGCTTGTACCGTACACGGGCTCCCAGCGTTTTCTCTTCCGAGTGTTTGTTTAGCTGTTTTCTCCGGCTTTGGCAGATCGGAAGCTGCATCTGAAGAAGGTTTGAACGTATCCAGCCCTTTCAAAATCCCCCGTTGTCAGAGGGGTGAAAACCCCCTCACTCTGCAGTCCCACACCTGGCCGTAGGTGTGTGCGTGCCCACAGCCTGCCCGGCAGGGGCTTCCCAACCCTTGCGGAGCCAGGAGCAGGCGGAACGCCCGTCCGTGTGCCTGCTCCCGCCGTGTCCTGCCCCCGTGTCACCTGAGCACGTAGGGCTGCGGCCATGCCTGTGTCCCCTGGGCAAGCCCGGCTTCCAGCGCCGACCGTGCCTGGACACGGAGCGCGGCGTGCCGGGCTGCGGGAGTGTGAGGATGCGGGAGCGTGCGAGTGAGGGTGAGAGGGTGAGTGCGTGTGTGTGTGAGCAGTGTGTGTGTGTGAGCAGTGTGCGTGTGTGTGTGTGTGTGTGTGTGTGTGTGAGCAGTGCGTGTGTGAGCAGTGTCTGTGTCTGTGTGTGTGTCTGTGAATGAGCAGTGTCTGTGTGTGAGCAGTGCGTGTGTGTGTGTGAGTGAGCAGTGTGTCTGAGCAGTGTCTGTGTATGTAAGCAGTGTGTGTGTGTGTGAGCAGTGTCTGTGTGTGTAAGGAGTGTGTGTGTGTGTGTGAGAGCAGTGTGTGTGTGAGCAGTGTGTGTGTGTGAGCAGTGTGTTTGAGCAGTGTCTGTGAGTGAGCAGTGTGTGTGTGAGCAGTGTGTGTGTGCGCCCCGGCCCTCACTGTGCCCCCTCCCCTCGGAGCCGGGCAGCTCCGCGCTGTGGGGTGCCCCGTCCCTGTCCCGGGGTGC